CCCCCCGCATCTCTCCTGCTGCTTGGGTGACGTGTGCTGAGACACTACGCACGGGGTTTCAGTATTTTACAGAATTAGGAGTGAATCTGCTTCTAAGACATATTTTTCACATTTAAAACTTGTACCCTCCCTTTCCTTCTACTCTTTTCCCTTCTCCTAGTGCTTTCCATTTGTAAAAATAACTTAGAATTATTTGTGTAAGCTTATTCAAAATTTCCAAATACTGAAAATTAAAATGAGAGGGGGAAAAATACCTGTTTATCATGTGACATGAAATCATCTATTTCCATAGTCCTGGTGTCATACAGCTCCCCTGACAAGTTCACTAAAAATTTACAGTGGCGATGCAACCCGCAAGCCTGGCAGGAACAGTCTTTAGCATTCTTCATATGAATACTCACATTAGAATAATTTTCTACCCGCTCCTGAAAACAAAAGGTGTAAGCTTTAAAGGATTAGAATGACAACAAAATACAACATAAAAAGAACCTAACCAGATTAAAACCAATATGAGGAATCATAATAACAGAATGAGCTGTAAGAGCAAAACACTGGTATTTCTAACTTTAATACTGAGCACACAGTAAGTGTTTGACAAGATATTTTTACAATAGAAAAATAAATTTATAATTTGGAATATTAAATGGAAAGAAACCAGACTAGAAAAATAATTAGTTTCATATCCCTTACACTTATGAGTTACTACTTAAGTAGTCATTTTCATAGGTTTTACTTCTTTTCCTTCCCCTCATTTCTAGTTCATGTTAATGAAGTATTAATTAGTTAAAGATAGGAAACAGCGAGCAACAAAATTTCAGAATATAATACAAGATGAATTCATTTAGGTTAGTCAACAGTTGAGAAAAACAGTCTCCACTGTGTGAATTATATCATATTTTTCACAAAATATTTCAGAAATAACTTAATCCTCGTTTGGTTACTTACTGAAGTACTGTGAACATAAACAAGTTGGAACAGGGATTGCTAGGTGGTCAGTACTGATGTGGACAGTGAATAGATGAGTTAGTAGCAGGTAAACAAATAGAAAACATTTGGCATTCATATATAAGCATTATTTATGAAATTACTTGTGCTTGAGTATTCTTGCTTGCGCTGTGGGCCTGTGTGAGATATTACTGTTCTAATTAGTAGTGCAGATTAGGTTTTCCCACAATATTTGAATTGTACACAATGAGCATTAGCAGTTACAAATCCACTTTCACATTCTCCATTCATTAAGTATCCAATAGACTGACAGTTTTCTGTACACTGGATGATTCACAACAACACTGCCTTTTGTCTATCTTTACTATTTCTCATATTTCATGACACTTCATGACACACGTCACTTACAGACTGACATTCAGAGTGAACAGGTGACTAATCACCTTCTCTCCCTGCTCCCATGTTTCTCATGGAAGCACATGCTGAGTTGAAAGCTCTATCAGCTTAGTTCCCTGAGACTACAAGTAGAGCACTCCTGTTGACTCACACTGGACATCTAATATAAATAAAAAATAAACTTCGTTGGATTAAGCTACTGAGATTTTTTTGTGGGTTTATTTTGTCATATTATTTAATTATTGCAGCATAACCTAGCTTATCCTGACCAAGATCATACTGAATCACTATGTCTTTACATTTCTAAGCTAATATTTTGTTGCATCTTACAGTTATTTCAACATTGGGTTATCTAAATTCAGCCTAGCCTACCATAGTATGGTAAAGCATAATACAGCATAGTAGTGTGGCCTTTCGAGTCAGAGAAACCCTAGAAACTTGAGGTTTCTAGGTTTAAGTATTTATTGGCTTGGTTCATTATTAGCTGTGTAACCTTATGTTACTCAATTTTTCTGAGTTTCCTCATCTGTAATGGAGGAACTAATAATGCCTTCCTCATCGGATTAACTTTGAAGATCAAATAAGAAACTTCACTTTGCATGTAAATTATTTGGCAAAATTAAATAAACAATGAATAATGCTACTTTTCTTTCTATTAAAGAAAAAATATTTGTATCATGTTCTAAAAGCTGTACTATCTGCTTTACTTTCCAAGTTAAGTAAATATTTCCCTTTAAAGTAGGTAAATCTTTTCTGTATCTGAGGAAGAAACTGGAATTTAGAGAGGTTAAAAACACCCAAAGTCAAAAAGATACCCTAAACTCAAGCCACCCTCCCAATTAAAGACTTCTTCCCATAACTGTCCCTTAACTGAAACCATCTGTGGCTAATTTATCATTAGGTAATTTAAGGCTGAACAGGCCCTGGGTGAAGCCAAATCTCCTGACATAAATGAGGCAGAGTAGCTAATGATTTAAGTGCTAGAAGGATGTTAGCGAACTTGAACTTCACTTATCTTGCTATTTTCTTCTTGCTAATAATCATTAGAAGATAAAATGTTAGAAGCAGAAAGAAAAAAAAACCTTAAAAATCATATAGTGTACTCTCTATTAGAGATCATAAAAAAGAAATCTAGAGGATAACATGGAATCCAATAAACCCTATAAATTAAAAAGGTGCTTTACTCCAATTGGTAGAATTACAAAATCTTAAGGTGGAGAAGGGTGTNAGGATAACATGGAATCCAATAAACCCTATAAATTAAAAAGGTGCTTTACTCCAATTGGTAGAATTACAAAATCTTAAGGTGGAGAAGCGTGTTAAAGACGGCCTCAGCCTGCGTTTCCCAAACTGCGTTACGGAAATCAACTGTCCTGGGAGGCAGCCTAAGCCTNGCGTTACGGAAATCAACAGTCCTGGGAGGCAGCCTAAGCACTTCACCGGAAGGAGCCTGGTAGGAAAACACGAACTTGGAAAGTATTACATTCTGCATGGCTCTCTTGAAGGTTTACAATATAAATTCAAACATTAATGCTCCTAGAAGAGTCCTCCAGTTAAGTTAAACCCACTGTTTCTCAAACTTCTTTAACAACTTATTTTCTGAAACAACAATCAACACCCTATGAGACAATCTCATTTTATTTAATTTATTTATTTTCATACTCACCCAAGGGCATGTTTAAGATTTTTAGAGAGAGGGGAAGGAAGGGGGGGAGAGAGAGAAATATGCATGTGAGACAGACATCAATCAGCTGCCTCCCCTATATGCCCCAACCGAGGACCAAACCCGCAACCCAGGCATGTGCCCTGACTGTAAATCGAACCCGCAACTTTTTGGTTTAGGGACAACACTCCAACCAACTGAGCCACATAGGCCAGGGTGACAATCTCCTCATTTTAATACATGGGTTAAGCCCTAGAGATGTTCTAAAGTTACTCGTTATTTAGAACTGCTTAATTATTGGATAGATACAGAAAGTGTGAATGATTAAAACAGTAACAGCCTTGAGGAGGAATAAACAACCAGCTGATTATTTAACACAGAAAAATGCCAGCCCAGCCTGCATGGCTCAGCGGGTGAGCACAGACCGAGGATCCAGAAGATCGAGGTTCAATTCCCCGTCAGGGCACATGCCTGGGCTGTAGGCATGGTCCCCAACAGGGGGTGCACAGGAGGCAGCCAATCAATGACTCGCTCTCATCACTGATGTTTCTCTCTCTCCCTTCCTCTTTCTGAAATCAATAAAAATATATTTTAAAAAAGAATAGGAAAATGCCAATAATTTAGAAGATTATTCAGCCTCACTGAACAATAAAATCCTGAGCAGTCTCCCACTCCTCCCTGCCCCGCCGAGATTCAAAATCAAACAAAACAGTCTACCTTATACTGTGCTTTCCAACGACTTCTAGAGGATAAGCTCTCTAGGCGAGGCTGAACAAAGCAGTCATCCAAATACTGAAGAGATGTCAACATTTGCTGTGCATATGATTTTTGCCTGGTGTGATCTGTTCAGGGGAGTAACAACAAAAACCCCAATCAGTTTGCCCTCGTGAAATATTTAAATAACTGAATACTTAAGGGCTTCTTCCCATAGCTTTAGGTTGGTTGGTCAGAAGCATTTTAAATTAAAATAAATTTTTAATGATGTGAAAAAAATCATTCCATCAGAGCATTAGGGAAAGGAAAGAGCCACATAGGTCTTCTAAGTGTTCCTTGAACACATCAAACTTACTCTTCCCTAAGAGTCTCTGCACTTGCTGTGCTCTTTGTTAGGTCCATGAATTACTTTCTCCCTCACTTAGGATTTCTGTTCAAAAATCACCTCTTGAGACACCGACTTTGACAAGCTACTAGACTTTCCTTTTCTTTATCACTCTCCATTTCTTTAGCCTTTGTTTTTTTCCAAGAACTAAGCACTAGTTGGAATCATATTATGCTATATATTTGTTCACTCATTGTCTGTCTCTCCCATTAAACTTTATGCAACGTGACGGCAGGAATCTCGGGTCATAGTCACCGCCATATCCCCAGCCCTCAAATAATGGCTGGCCCTTAGTAGGCACTCAGCAAGTATTTGTTCAATAAGTTGTGAATGAAATCTTATTTTGGAACTCAGGTAGATTATTCAACACAACATATTTATAGTCTTTATTAAGTACCAAATAGTGTGCTAGGTGCAAGGGATAAGTATATAAGTATAAGGTATGTTCCTTCTCATACTCTTGAAAGGGAGGAAGGGAGAAATACATTTTCAATACAAGTATGAAAAGTGCATACACATCAGTACTACCATACTCAGGATAACGCTAGCACAAATGAGGGGCTGAAAATACTACTTGAGTGGGTCATAGATAGCTTTAATAGCAGAAATGATTTTATACTCACCTTGAAAATCCAGGGTAGAAAGGGATTATATTCTAAGGAGGAACAGCATAAGCAAAGACACAAAAGCTTAAATCAGCGTAACTTTTGGTGAAATTCAAGGAGCCTAGAGAGGCAGGGAGAACACATGAGTGTTGAACTACCCTGCTGTTTTAAGAGTATGTGTCCTATATCTTCAAATTCACTGTGAACTCTGTAGGGTCAGGGAACTGTCACATATTTCTTTTGTACTTTCTACATTTCAAATAATAAAGTTTTGATGTGAATGGACTTTTGGTGCAGTTGATTCTAGAGGGAATGACAACTGAAGGACCCTAAGAATGGGTCTCTGTGGTTTTGTTATACAACATATATGGTTGTTTAAAAACTGGAAAAAGAAAAAAATAATTGTTGCATCCATATTAACTTACCATACAATGTTTCCAGAAATGATTCATCTAAAGCATTGATCAGAAGAGCCTTCACAACTCTTTCAAAGTGAGTGTAGTGATCACTAAAAGAATCTGAAATTAATTTAAATATCAGAATCTAGTCGACAAAACAATTCTTAAATATAGTAAGTTCATTTCTCCAAAGCTAAGAAATTAATACTATAAATAGAAGAAATTGCTTAATTATTCTAATTTTATAGCTGCCTCAGTGACTTCTCCTGTCATTTTCCAAAGTTTCTATTATTATTTCAAATAAACTACTTTGGCATCCAATCCAAAGTTTCTATTGTTATTTCAAATAATCTTCACTTTCTACACTTATTTAGGAAAATTAAGAGATATGCCATAAAGGCAAATCAAAATCGTCCCCTGTTCACCTAAGTTTAATTATCAACTTGACAATCAGAGAGACCAAGAGAAAAAACTTCAATAGGTGGGTTTTTCAATATGTACCCTAAACTTCTTACTCCTTTTGTCCAAAACATGTTACATACAAAATTGTCTGTGAAATGTCTACCCTAGCCAGAATCCCAATAGCCATAAAAACTTCATTTCCCTTTCTGCTGCCCCAGATTTAGAATTTTCCGCATCAATTTAGAAAACTTATGTCTACTCTTTCTCATACCAAATATATAAGCCTACTTTCCCACTAACCCAATCTGGCCCATGAAGTCATCTGTTTGATGAGACAGGCAATAATGAGAGAGAAGATCCCTACTATTTCCCATTGCTCTTGGATCAAGGCTTACTATGGCTGTGGAGATGTTCTCTATCTAACACGACCCATTCCTTGACCCAAACGGTCATCATAGAACATTTGCTCTGCTCTGGGCATCTATGAAGACATATTAAAAGCATCCGGAGTATTTCAGGAAAAGTGAAATACTTCTGATGCTTAGTAAGGGATTAAAGCAAAATAAGGCCAATTTTTAGCATCCATGGGTGAAACTGAACTTGGCTTTCAGTTGAAATTAAACAAAGATGCGATTTAAAATAGAGAAACTTTTAACTTATATTTTAGTTACTGAAAGGGCTATAAACTCCTCTTTTAGAATTTAGGGGAAATTTTTAGTACACATTCCTGTTTTAAGGAAATACCTTATTGAAGTACTAAAGTGAACAAAATAAAACAGTAATAAAACTAAATGACAATAGCAGATAATTTGCACTTGCCTATGACTAACTGAAAATTACAAAAGAATTGATCATAGCCAGTTATGAATATATTTTTAAAAATCATTAGAACATAATTAGAAAATGAACTCATACTTCAAAAGAATCCGACTTTGACTAGACTACCACCACCATCTGTATATAATAATATAGCACTAGTAGATAATTTAATTTGTGAGTGTTCAAATGCACTTAACACTTAGCACTTCTCAAATTATATTAAGGAAAAACTTCTGGGAATANTCTGTATATAATAATATAGCACTAGTAGATAATTTAATTTGTGAGTGTTCAAATGCACTTAACACTTAGCACTTCTCAAATTATATTAAGGAAAAACTGTTCTGGGAATGTTAATAGATATGTTGAGGAAAAAAATAAAATCATCCCCTGTGCACCTAAGTTTAACTATCAAATAAATTGAAACAGAGTTTTTTTACCTCACTGAATTTTCATCAGTCTTGAAGGTACTCATGTCCATTACTCACCAGCTATAGAGTTTGGGAACTAAGACCCTGATAGTGTCTCTTTGGGATTGGGAATAAAAGGGCAGTTTCAGAATTACCTGGAGGTCTTTCCTAATCACAGAATTCTTCTCCTACCAACATGTATCAGAATCTCCTTCAAAAAGTCAGGAAGAAGGACTCAATTTCATTGTGCTTGAGTGGGCGGATAGGTGGTGGTAGAAATATGCTCCTGGCATCTCAAATTTTAAAAAATGTTTTGAGCAAGTATATGCCAGGCACCGTTTTATGCACTTATATGCATTGCTTTATTTCTCACGACGAGCCTACTAGGTAGTATCATCACCCTCAGTTTATTTTTATTTATCTATTTATTTATTATTTGAGGGAGGGGTAGAGAGAGCAAGAGAGAGAGAGATGTGAGAGAGACACATCGATTGGTTGCCTCCCACAGGAGCCCTAACCAGGGCCAGAGTTGAACCTGCAACCCAGGTATGTGCCCTTGACTGGGAATCAAACCTGTGACTCTGGTGTGCAGGCCATGGCAGTCTAACCACTGAGCAACACCAGCAGGGGCATGACCCCCATGTTATTTTAGTTGAGGAAACAGATCTAGAGAGTATGTAAAACTTCCCTAAGATCACACAGCTAGTGTTAAAACCAAGGTTGAGATCCAGGCACCCTGACTCCAGATTTCATGCTACTATCCTGTAGGGAGATGCAGTTCTGCATGGTAGTGAGATTTGATACTGTTATACTTCAGAAAATGAAATTTTAGACTAGGATGTAAAATTGGAGAAAACTGAGTTCAAGTATCTCATCTTGAAATTAAGAAAAATGACGCAATGATGACATAACTTACCCAAGGACACACAACTAGATAGAGGNCTTGAAATTAAGAAAAATGACGCAATGATGACATAACTTACCTAAGGACACACAACTAGATAAAGAATCAGAATTATAGCTCAGACCTCCTCCAGAACTTTATTCAATGCTTTAATTCCTCTGTTGGGTGGAGTTCTGTGGAATATCCTAGAAGTATTATTTACAACTTCTCTCCATGATTATTTAAAAAAACTAAAAGGACACAGGAGAAAACCAACAATATTGGTGTTTGCGCATAAGTTGATTTTTCTAAAGCAGTTAATCAATTTCCCCACACCCAAACACTGGATAGTCTAAGTCATCCTGTTGATTTCCATTCATCCTCTATCATACAGTAATTGCACGTGTATGCTAAGATACTGTGTCAGCACCATCTTCCTAATGATCTGGCTGTCATTCTCATATCAGTACTACAGTGCTTTATGTGTTGCAGTTTTGTGATAACTTTATATCTGGGGGCAAGCCTTTTGATTTACTGTTTTCAAATTTTGTTTATTCTCCTACAGTATTTGTCCTTTCACATGAACTTTAGAATTAGTTTCTAAAGTTAAATCAACTTCAGAAGAAATAACTTCTTGTACTACTTATCTTCCAGAAACACGCTGTGCCCCTCCTTTTTCTCATGTTTTCTTTTCTATTTCACAATAAAGTTTATTCTCGTACCTAGCAAGCTANTTTTCTCATGTTTTCTTTTCTATTTCACAATAAAGTTTATTCTCATACCTAGCAAGCTATGCTTTTCTTAAGATTAGGCCTAGAAACTTCATTGTGTTTGCTAGTATAAGTGGAATGTTCCCTCGNATGCTTTTCTTAAGATTAGGCCTAGAAACTTCATTGTGTTTGCTAGTATACAAGTGGAATGTTCCCTCATTATATCATCCAAATAATTATTGATGGTATACAGTGAGTGTGGTCATTTTTCTGAGATCTTTTACTAATTCCAAAATAGTAAGATTCTCTTAGATGTTTGTAGTAAACGAGCCTCCTGGGACATTACAGAGCTAGAGAGAGAGACTGGACTGTTCAGGAATTCCTGGGCACTAACTCTGCTTTATCAACCAACCCTGAGGATGTGCTCTTGCTGTTTAACAAGAGAATGCTTATAAATATTCTCTTAGGTACATCTGTTGGTGCACTTTCTTCTGGAATGGAGGTGTAAAATCAGTGTAAAAGGGCAGAGGCGAAACGAGAAACCAGCTTCTTTTTCTACTCTAACAGGTCCCACCCTCAACCCCACATAGGAAAAAAGAACATGAGAAAACTGGAAATACATGCTGCATCTACTTGTGCTCGCAATGTATTCATGTCTTTCCTCTTCTGTAGCCTCGGTTAAATAAATCAGAAACTCAAAACATACACACACACACACACACACACATATATAATCATATTATGTTCAAACAATGTCTTTTCCTTACAAATAGTATATTTGTTTTACTTTCCTGTCTTGTTACAGTGTTCAAAACACTAGAACAAAGTTAGTAAAAATATTTTTGTTTCATTCTTTATTACAGAGAATATCCCTAGTGCTTCACTGTAAGTATGTTGACTGTTGGTTTAAAACAGTCTTTGTTATGTAAAGGACATATGCTCATATTACTATTTTTTAATACTTAAACTAGATAAGGACATTGAATTTTATCAAATGCTTTTTTAGTATCTGTTGAAATTATGGTATAATTTTTTTGACATTAATGTTACATTAACATGGCACCTAATATTAAACAATTTTCATAGTTCTAAAAAGAATGGATAACTTTTTCTTTATTCTTGTAATCAGAAAAATAATTCCTTCACATGTCTATTTGCAAATCTATTTTCATCAACTTATTCGGATGTGTGCCTCTTTAATCTGTATAAACAGTGTGTTTTTTGACAACTCAATAGTTTCTTCTATCGTACCTTTAAATTCCCATCTCCATATGTACAGACCATCCAAAAATATGGTATGCTTCTTAGCACATTCAAATCTTCTTTTGCACATCTTACTAAAGTTATGTAACTTTCTTCCTTTAGACTTCCATTTGTTCTATATCCCCCCCAGGAATTTGTGAAATAGGTTCTCCATTTCTATTCCTTCATGTATTATCCTCTCCCTCAGAAATATTTTTTCTTTTCTATGCTAGAACTTCTTTGGTTTAACCTATACGCCACTGAGGAGAAATTCTGTGCTGTTAATTCTGCTCTTTACCTCTTTCAATACAGACTTTATTTCTGACTTGATATTTTAAATTCACTAGCAATTTATCCTTGCCTTAGCTAGCTCTCTTTCACTTCAAATTGTTCTCTTCTTATAATGTCCTATTTCTTTTCCACAGGTTGCAAAGCAAATGCTTTATACAATTTTCTTCTGTTTCCTTTAATGAAACATTTTTCACAGGCATTTTCTTCCTCTGAGTCTTCAGGGCCATATTACCTTTGCCTTTTGCAAAAAATAGTTCACTGGTACATTTTTACTATCCTAGAGCAAGAGGGAAAGTTCTAGGATTTAACCTTCAACATAAATGGTTGTGAGACTGTTCTCAGGCACACTCTGTGCTGTGTTGATAGAATAATTCTCTTTAAGTGCTAGGTGGAAACTAAGTTCATGTTCATTCTTAGTCCAATTTCCAGTATTCTAGGAAGCACTTATTTAGCAAGGCACTAGAGATGTACTTTTATATCTACTATGTGGTTCTTTGTCACTCTGAGCATATGAGAGAGTACTGGAAAAATAATCTTTAGTACCCACAAATCTGAAGGTTATTCCTATCTACCTGTGCATAATAGTTTTAGCGAGTGAGCATTATATAGATTTGAAATAAAATAGATCACTGCTAATCTATCCTTCTACTCTATCATACCTTTTCTGGGAATCTCAGTCTCAGAATAAATATAGAGAAATACAGGGTCTGGTGAGAAGGGAAAATGACTATGATTTTCTTCCAATGCTACAACCATGTAGCAGGAGGGGAAACTGTTCTATTTTGAGGTATTACTGATGTAACTACCACCACAATCTAGAAAACAATGGTTCTACATTCACCCCCAAATTCACTTATGCTACCTCTTAATCATTTAGTTTTGCCTATATTGAGTCTGAGGTGTCTGAAATACACCCTGATGAAAATGTTTAATGAGATGATGAAAAACTGGGCCATAGGCTTTGGAGAGAACTGCACTGGAAATAAAGGTTGGGGAATTTTTGCCTATAGATTAGGCTGAACTTAAGGGGAAGAGACTGCCTGAAGCACAAGCAAAACCAAGGTAGTTTGAGGATGGAACCTTTGGAAACATCAATACTTACGTGACAAATGGAAAAAGAGAAAAGTGATATTATAAAGGGAAAGACAAGAAAGAGTGCTAGCACAGAAGCTAAAAAGAGAACTTCCTGGAAGTGAGAGCGGTCAATGGTTGGTGGTAAATCACATAGCAATACCAGGTTAATATGTAAGAAATGAAAAACATTTTGGCAACTAGGAAATTATCATTAACTTTAGTGAGAGCAATAGCACTGGATTAATGGGTGCAAGAGCCTGAGCACAATGCTTTGTAGATACAGAAAACTTGAACAAAAAGATAAGATTTAGAATAGTGGCTAATGGAATGTGCCAACTAAAGGGAAGAAAGGCACTGAATGTGGTTACAAGCTAAGGAAAGATGGATTGCAAGGACAGAGCCAGAAGAAGTTGCAATTGAGAAGGTATAAGATCAAATGTATTGCATAAAACAAGGATCGCATCCACCTCTGATGTGGAGGCTCAATAGTAAAAGCAAGCACAGAGCTACTTGGTATTTACCTAAATGAGGTGAAAATATATGTCCATATAAAAATCTACACATGAATACTTATAGCAGCTTTATTCAGAATTGCCAACACTTGGAAACAATGTGCCCATCAACAGGTGAATGGATAAACAAACTGGTACATTCATACAATGGAATATTATTCAGTGATAAAAATAAATGAGCTATCATGCCATATTAAGACATGGAAGAAATTAAATGCATATTATTAACTGAAAGCAGCCAATATGAAACAGCTACGTGTTGTGTGATTCCAACTATAAAACATTCCAGCGAAGGTAAAACTATGGAGACATTAAAAAGATCAGTGGTTGCCAGGGGCTCAGGGGAGTGAGGGAAGGATGAATAGGTAGAGCACAAGGGATTTTTAGGAGAGTGAAACTATTCTGTATGATATTATAGTCGTGCATACCTGCAGTGTCACTACACATTTGTCAAAATCCATAGAATGTACAACTCAGCCATAAAAAAAGAACAAAATTTTGTCATTTGTGACAACATGGATGAACCTAGAGGGTACTATGCTAAGTGAAATAAGTCAGACACAGAGAGTCAAATAGGTATGATTTCATTTATATAGAGAATCTAAAAAAATAAATGAACGAACAAAACAAACAAACTCACAGACACAGAGAACAAACTGATGGTTGCCAGATGGAAAGGGGGTGTAGAAATGAGTGAAAAGGTGAAAGGGATTAAGAANACAAACAAACTCACAGACACAGAGAACAAACTGATGGTTGCCAGATGGAAAGGGGGTGTAGAAATGAATGAAGAGGTGAAAGGGATTAAGACGTACAAATTTCCAGTTATAAAACAGTAACAGGGATGTAAAGTATAGCATAAAAAATAGTCAATAATGCTGTAGTAACTATGTATGGTGCCAGGTGGGTACCAGACTTACCGTGGTGATCACTTAGTAAGTTATATGAATGATATGAATGTCTAATCATTACATTGTACACTTGAAACTAATATAATATTGTATGTCAACTATAATTGAGCAATACATTTTAAAAAATATCAAAAAAATCCATAGGATGTACAACACTAACAGTGAGCCCTGAGGTAAACTATGAACTATAGTTAATAATACTGTACCAATATTAGTTCATCATACCAAATGTACTAATGCAAGATGTTAATAACAGGGATATTATGTGTGTGAGGGGTTATGTATGAACTCTCTGTACACTCAACTTCTCAGTAAATCTAAAATGGCCCTTAAAAAAACAAAAGCAAACATAGAGCTATAAAATAGAGAAGGAAATTAAAATAGTTCCTACATGCTGGACTTTCATTTTCATTAATTAGTAGGAGTGGGTATGAATGGGTATCTCTCAGCAAATGTTCTACCACATTCTAAATATTATAATCCAGAACAATGGGATACCTCCTAATTGAATTTCCCTGATGTTCAAATATCCAGGTGGCAGGTGAACCAACAATGCTTATTGATCTAAGTAAAACAGTTATTAGCTTTCAATGCATAGATGCCTATCACTGACATCTTTATAACTGCTAAATTTCTTAAAATTTGATGGACACCTCAATCTACCAATTAACTACAAATCATGAGATCTAAATTGAACCATAATATACTTAGTTTTTGCCCTTATAAAAAAATTTGGAAATAATGCATTCTTTAAGGAAAAAAGTATACATCCAACCGCCTGTTTCTACCAGAGTAAAACATCATAAAAACCTTTGAATTTATGTATAATTATAGGGACCAGAATAATATATATTTAAAGATACACTAAATTTTCAGGGTTCTCTTATTTATATTTTCATTAACTATATGAAAATATAAAAGCTTCTACTTTCCTATCACACTGGTGATGCTTCAAGTCCTGTAGACCCCTGTACTTCCCCAAGTCCATTTGTGATCTGTGAGATCAAGATAACCATTTGCTGTTTTTCCTGTTGAGATTTCACCGATGGTGCAAAAGTAACTATGGGTAAGGCAGCTGGCCCCCTAATATGGCAGTAGCACCAAACTATTTGTCATCACTGCTATGTACTCAGTAAAAACAGCTGCTTTCACTTAAGAATGTCCTTGAAGTAGTAAAAATTATTAATTTTATTAAATCTTCAGTATACATCTTTTTAGTATTCAATGGGATGAAAGAGGATGTATGCATAAAGTACTTATGCTGCATATCAAAGTATGATCAATTGTACTTTGAAAAAAACTGAGTTGGGAGCTACAAAAGCCTCAACTGTCATGAAACACCATGTTTACTTGAAAGAACAACTGACAAACTATGGTTATTCTGGCATTTGTCAAATATTTTCTCAAAAAAGTACAAAAGGAACTTCTTATTTCAAGAACTCATGTTTTTGTTGCCAAAAGCAAAAAAAAACCACCACCAGATTTTTAAGTAGAAAGTAGAATTTTGAAAAATTTTATCTGCTCTTGTGAACTTGACAGCTTCCCCATCCTAAAGAATTTTCTGATAAGATTGGTGGTAATATTAACAAATGTGATACTAAAAATATTGTATCATGAAATGTATCAATATTTGGAAGATCGGTAAAACCCAGTGAGCCACTATTTTCCAAATGACTGATGCATGATGTTACAAAATCATGCATGGGTAAAAAAAGATCCATTCAAAGTGCAAGATGGACCAATGGATTATAATGTAAGTATTAAAATTTCATTTATGTGGTTTCAGATTCCATATTACAAATATCCTCTAAGAAGCTATCGCTTGCCTAATTTTTGTGTTGTGTCAAATGAGAATATTGACAATTTCTTTGAAATACTCCTTCCTTTTCCAGCTATTTGCGTGAAGCAAAACTGTTTTCATCTATTTCAACAAAATACATCATAACAGACTGAATACGGAACCAGATATAAGAACCTAACTGCCTTGACTTCTATTAAGCTGGTCATCAAATATACTTATTAAAATGTACGACAAGGCCCCAACCAGGAGGCTCAGGTAGTCGGAGCATCATCCCACACACCACAAAGGTTGAGGGTTCATTCCCCAGCAGGCATGCGGCTGGATTTTGGTCAGGGGATGTGGGTGGGGGGAATGCAGCACGGAAGCTCCTCTCCCCACTTCCTCTCTCTCAAGTCAATAAACGTGCCCTTGGGCGAGGATTAAAGGAAAAGTAAAACAATGTCATTCTCATCTTGGGGGAGAAATGTAGTTATTTTTCTTAAAAATGTTATTTTTAAGTGAATTAATAAGTGTATTTTAAACTGTTTTGTATTTCTACAATAGTAACTGTTGGTAGCTATAACCCACAGAAACAAAAGCTCTTTGGGGTCCTCAATAATTTTTAAGAATATAAAAGCCACTGGAATAAGCCATCATCAAACTGACAAATTAAAGTTACCCGAAAATGGAGTCACCGTTCCTGATTTAGAGCCTGACGGCAACAGGCTGGGTTGGTATCAGATATAACAGTATTAGAACAGTCATAAAAAAAGTCCTTGATGTTCAACTTACAGAGCGAATTCTGTTTCACTAACTTCATCTGCGACGCGGCCGCCCGCTCTCCTCGCCCGCCTGCGCTCCCGCCGTCGCCGTCGCCGTCGCCCTCCTCGTCGCCCTCCTCGTCGCCCACCACGAAGTCGTCAAGAAGGTAGTCCTCCCCGCCGGCCTCGGAGCCGGCCTCCTCCTCGTCGTCATCATCTTCCTCCTCTTCCTCACTGCTCGGGCAGGATTCCCTTTCAGAGTCCTGGTCAAATTAAAGCATGTTCCTTCAGGAGACAATTCCTTTAAAACGGCCAGTATGGATATGAAGATGAAAAAGATTAAATCCCAAACTCCCAAAAACGACCCACAGAAATTAATTTTATAGTTGAAGGTTAAAAAATCTTGTCATGCTAAATGTTGCAAGTTGAAATTGGGAAGAATACAATATATCTTAGTGCGATGTAAAATATTTAAAATAGACATTAAGACTATAAGACGAAAACAGCGAACAGCGCACGAAGCCGTGGCCTTCGCGCTTTGGGAGGGTGAGGCCTGGGGCCGGGCAAACCGAGGCGGCGGCCTCAGTCACGCCCGAGCGGGCGCCTCAGGAAAACAGACCCCGCACCACTGAGCAGGGCGGGCTCAGCGCCGCCCTGTTTACGGACACCAAGTACTTTAGGCAGCACTTCGCAGCCAGTAACCAAACCAGCGAGGCCCCGCACACCTGAGCGCCGCCGCGCCCGCGCCTCCGCTGGGCCCGCTGCTCCGACA